CGTGTCTGGGGATCTCGGGCGTTTTTCCGCGACTTGTCTGCGGACAAGTTGTCCCCCCGTGCTGTTCCCTGCGTCTTCCTTGGCTTCCCCCCTGACGCGCCAGGTTGGCAGTTTTACCACCCCACCTCGCGCCGTGTTCTGTCCTCTCAGGACGTCACGTTTGACGAGTCGGTTCCCTACTACCGTCTCTTCCCCTACCGCACTGCGTCCCTTCCCCCGCCGCCGCTCTTCCTCGTGCCAGGTCCCCCCCCGGTAGACCCCCTCCCCCCTCAGGGTGCTGCCCCCTCAGGTGTGTCCCAGGTAGACGCAGTCGATCCTGTCGAGGTAGCTGTTGACTCTGGTGCTGCTAGGGGTGCTGAGCCTGCGGGTGTGGGGTCTGGGGGTGCTGAGCCTGGGGGTGCTGACTCTAGGGGTGCTGAGACTGGGGGTGCTGAGTCTGGGGGTGCTGAGCCTGGGGTTGCTGAGCCTGGGGGTGCTGAGCCTGGGGGTGCGGAGCCTGGGGATGCTGAGCCTGCTCGTGTGGCGTCTGGAGGGACTGGGCCTGGACGTCCTTCGGGTGCTTCGTCCCGGAGAGAGCCCCTCTCTCCACAGGAGCTGCGCGAGTGGTTTGCTCGGCGCTGGAGCCGTGCTGCTGGAGCTGGAGGTGCTGCCGGTGTTGGAGGTTCTGCTGCTGCTGAGGGTGCTGGTGTTGGAGCTGGTGGTGCTGCTGGCGTCGGTGCTGCTGGTGCTGGAGGTTCTCCTGCTACTGAGGGTACTGGTGCCGCGGGTCCCGGAGGTGCTCGTACTGGAGCTGCTGGAGGTGCTGGAGCTGAAGCTGGAGCTGCTAGGGGTGTTGGCGCTGGAGGTACTGCTGGTGCTGGTGCTTCTGAGGGTGCTGGTGTTGGTGCTGCTGGAGCTGGTGCTACTGGTGCGGCTGGAGCTGGGGGTACTACTGGAGCTCGTGCTGCCGTTAGGGGTGCGGGTGCTTTTCCTGCTGGTTCTGGGGGTGCTGCACGGCCGCGACCGTACTTCGTTCCGCTCCTTGAGCAGGTTCTTGGTCTTCCGCCCTCTACTGGTCCTGCTCCCCTCTCAGAGTGTCCGCCGCCTGTCCAGTCTGAGTCACAGTTACAGCCAGCCTCCCCGCTGCCTGCTCCTTCTCCCTACACTGGTCCTACTGGCGGTCTTGCTGAGCGTCGTGAGCCTGCGTCTCGTCCTGCGTCGCCTGTCCGTGCTGCTCGCACTAGTGGTCGTGGTTCGCGTCAGCGTCCTCCCCCTGTTTCCGGCACGCACCAGATGTTTCTGCGTCCTTCCACTGCTCCGCTGCGTGCCCCTTTGCCTTCTCCTCCTGCGTCCTCTCTTCCTGCTCTTGCTGACCCAGAGTCGGACTCCCTTCGTGCTGCCAGTCCTACTGTCACGCGTCTCCTTGCTACTGTCGTCACTGACCCTTCCTTCGAGTCCACTGCTGCGTCTGCCTTAGTTGCTGAGCTTGTCGACTTTGCTGCTCGCTGTCGTCTAGACTACGCTGCTAGTCTTGTCGCTGAGTCTGAGTCTGTCTGTCCTCCGTCCGTCGGGGGTGAGTGTGCCCTTGGCACGGACGTACTTGAGGACAGGCAGGAGGAGTTACAGTGCTTTGCTGCTGCTTCACCTCATCTCGTGTCCATGCTGCTGGCCCCTGAGGGAGACCCGGATGCACCAGACATCCCGACTCCGCGCTCTTACGCCGAGGCGATAGAGGGTCCCTACTCCTCTCAGTGGCAGGCAGCCATGGACGCAGAGATGGCTTCCTGGAAGTCCACAGGCACCTACGTCGACGAGGTTCCCCCACCTGGGGCGAACATCGTCAGTGGCATGTGGATTTTCAGGGTGAAGCGGCCGCCGGGTTCTCCGCCTGTCTTCAAGGCGCGGTACGTGGCTCGAGGCTTCAGTCAGCGGCAGGGAGTTGACTACTTTCAGACCTTCTCTCCCACCCCGAAGATGAACACTCTTCGGGTGCTCCTGCACATAGCCGCTCAGCGCGACTACGAGCTTCACTCTCTTGACTTCAGCACTGCTTTCCTACAGGGTAGCCTGCACGAGGAGATCTGGCTGCGCCGCCCACCTGGCTTCACTGGGTCTTTTCCTCCTGGCACCCAGTGGAGCCTCCGGCGGCCAGTCTACGGTCTCCGCCAGGCACCTCGTGAGTGGCACGACACACTGAGGACTACACTTGCGGCTCTTGGGTTTGCTCCTTCTACTGCCGACCCGTCGCTGTTTCTACGCACCGACACCTCTTTGCCGCCGTTCTACATCCTCGTGTACGTCGACGACTTGGTCTTTGCCACAGCTGACACTGCTGGACTCGCCCACGTGAAGTCCGAGCTGCAGAAGAGACACACGTGCACAGACCTGGGTGAACTGCGCAGCTACCTTGGCTTGCAGATCACTCGGGACAGAGCACAGCGCACCATTACCCTGACTCAGTCACACATGGTGCAGCAGGTCCTTCAGCGCTTCGGCTTCACGTACTCCTCGCCACAGGCCACTCCTCTGTCTACTCGCCACTCGCTCTCAGCTCTGCCTTCGGATGAGTCCGTAGAGCCGAGTGGCCCGTACCCAGAGCTTGTTGGCTGCCTCATGTACCTGATGACCTGCACACGACCTGACCTTGCATACCCTCTTAGCATTCTGGCACGCTATGTCGCTCCTGGGAGACACCTCCCTAAGCACATGGCTGCAGCGAAGAGGGTGTTGCGCTACTTGTGCAGTACGTCGGGCATGGGGCTAGTGCTTGGAGGGCGGCGTCCAGTGGTCCTCACAGGTCACGCAGACGCTTCTTGGGCTGACGACCAGGCTACGCAGCGGTCGTCACAGGGTTACACCTTCAGCCTTGGTTCCGGCTCTGTTTCGTGGCGGTCTACCCGCTCGTCTTCTGTTCTTGGCTCCAGCTGTGAGGCTGAGATCTACGCTGGGGCCATGGCTGCACAGGAGCTTCGCTGGCTTACCTACCTGCTGAGTGACCTAGGAGAGCCGCCTCGTTCTCCTCCAGTTCTGTACGTAGACAACAAGGCCATGCTGGCCTTGTGTCGGGAGCACAGACTGGAGCACAGAACGAAGCACATTGCTCTTCGCTACTTCCTTACTCGGGAGCTGCAGCAGCGTGGTCAGCTGCGCCTTGCTTACGTGGCCTCTCAGGCCAACACTGCTGATATCTTTACCAAGGCACTTCCGCCTTGTGATCATCAGCGCTTCTGTACTATGCTAGGTCTTGTGCCTACTTGGCCTCACTTGCTCACTTCTTGACCTTGCTTGTACTGTGATCTATCTATACCTGCACTTGCTTGTTTACCTTTATATATGATCTTGCATGTGAACTGGCCGTGTGGCCTTTGAACCTCTGCTCGGAATGTGTGGTGACGTTGTGATCCACCCTGAGCGTGCTTTGCTTGACTGGTCTTGTGACCCCTTGTTCTCCCCCACTTTGCCTATGGGGGTGTGTCAAACTTATATGCTATAGTCTGTTTAGGCTGTAGTGGGGTAGACACTAAAGGGTACAGTTTCCTAGGGTTTCATATTTGTACCCAACTCATTTTCTAGTTCATTCATTCCTCATTTCTTCACATAGCATACCCTCTTGGCCTTCTGGCCCGCTACGTGGCTCCTGGCAGGCACCGAAAGGTGCACTGGGATGCTGCAAAGAGGGTATTGCGCTACTTGTGCAGTATATCGGGCATGGGGCTCGTGCTTGGAGGAGGGAGCTCAGTTGTTCTCACTGGGCACTCAGACGCTTCTTGGGTTGACGACCAGGCTACTCAGCGGTCGTCACAGGGTTACACCTTCAGCCTTGGCTCTGGTTCAGTCTCTTGGCGTTCTACTCGCTCGTCTTCTGTTCTCAGCTCCAGTTGTGAGGCTGAGATCTACGCCACAGCCATGGCTGCACAGGAGCTACGCTGGCTCACCTACCTGCTGACCGACTTGGGAGAGCGGCCTAGTTCTCCTCCAGTGCTGTACGTCGACAACAAGGCTGCCATTGCCTTGTGTGAGGAGCACAGACTGGAGCACAGAACGAAGCACATCGCTCTCCGTTACTTTCTGGCTCGAGAGCTGCAGCAGCGCGGTCAGCTTCGTCTGCGTTACGTGGCCACTCAGGCCAACACCGCTGATATATTCACCAAGGCACTTCAGCCAGGTGATCATCAGCGCTTCTGCACTATGCTGGGGCTGGTGCCCACTTTTCCTCACTTGCTGTAGGCTTTGCCTGTACTGTGATCTCTATATATGTATACCTGCCTGTTTGCTTTGCTAGGTTGAGATCACCTTGCTGTTTGTGTTGCATATATGCCTCTGTATGTGAACTGGCCCTGTGGCCCCTTTACTTGTGTTCAGAGTGTGTGGTGACGTTGTGATCCACCCTGAGCTTGTTTGCCTTTCTTGACTGGTCTTGTGACCCCTTGCTCTCCCCCACTTTGCCTATGGGGGTGTGTCAAACATTATATATGTGTTATTGCTGTGTAGGCTATAGTGGGTTAGCCTTTAGGGGGTACATAACTGTAGGGTTTCATACTTGTACTCCAATGTTTCATAGTTCAATAACTTCTTGATTCTGACACCCCAACCCGCAGAGGAGGGTTGGGGGCACCATCCATGCTGCGCTGGCACGGCAGATTCCATCACGTTCTGGATGGTTCTGCCGAGATGCTCCTCCCTGGCAGCGCATGCCAACCTGATTGGGCCGCACGGTAGGTTTTGCATCAGCGCTGGCAGGTGCGTTGCACCGGGACGGGTTTTGTGCGGTGGGAAATCGAACCGTGGCAAGTTTCGCCGTCATTCCATGCACGACCCCACGTGCATGGTACAGTGTTGTATTCGCCTTATTCACGGCTTCAGAATGATATCCTTTACAGAGAAATTCATTTTTGCCTTTATAAAAGCGCTGGCGCTTATGGCCGTTACTCAATTACAAGCGCCCCCCCTACAAAAAAATAGTTTATTATAAGCGCATATGCGCTACTATCCGGGGTATTACGGTACAAGCAGGGGCACTACTACAACCCCCTAGCTACAACAACACACAGAAGGGAGGGGGGGAGGGCGAGTGTGGGAAGAGAAACTAACAAGTGAGCTCATTGCAATAGAGATACACCGGAGCAGATGCCACACGGCACCACTCGCAACCAGTGATCGCCTTAATGGGTACACCAGACCAGAGGGGGAAGCAGGGTGCTGAGTGTCATAGGACAGGCACCTTGAGGCGAACCTCAGATTTGTAGGTATAGATCACATCGGAGAACGCAGGTCAGATGGAAGGGCAGGAGGGGACTCGGAGGGCGTGTGGAGAGTGTGAGTCGAAAACAGATGGTGTGTGGTTGAAACGGGCTGACCTGCTGCCGCGAATCTCAGCTCTTGACACAGGTCTGGGGTGATGCTGCTGCAGATTCTGATGGTGCTGCTGCTGATGCTGATGCTGATGTTGATGCTGATGCTGATGATGCTGTTGATGAGAGTGCAGCTGATAGTGAGTCTGTTGCTCTTGACTGTTGGCCCGACGATGGTGCTCCTGCTGCTGCGGATGATAAAGCTGCTGCCACTGCTGCTGCGGATTCTGCTGCTGCTGCTGTGTGTGCAGAGGCAGAGGCGTGTAGGCCACAGCATCAGAGAAGCTTCGCCTTCTTGAGCAGGGCCCGGCACCCAAGAAGTTTCTCGGAAGCCTCTCTGCAGCACCAGAGAAGCTTCGCCTCCTTGACGGAATCAAATGAACGTTGGAGGTGTAAGAGAGAGTTGAGTCGAGAGAGGGAGTTGAGTTGAGGGAGTAGAAGCCACGGGAGGTAGTGGAAGTAAAAGACGGGGTTGAGGCAAGAGAGCGGGTTGAAGTGAGTGAAAAAGCTGGCTGGAGCGAATTGGACAATCTAGGTTCAGTATAATATGCCAGATCAGCCATCCAGGAACGCGCATGCGGCGTGCACTGCCCCGCTCCAGTGGAATCCCCATCGCTGGAATCCTCGTCGGCGAAATCTGCCTCAGTCCGCCCTCCAGCACCTGGGTCTCGCACCTCAAGAGCCACGGGCACGGCTCCCATGACAGCACCATCAGCACCATCAGCAGCAGCAGCAGCAGCATCATCACCCCATGACTCTGAGGTGAGCTCCCTGTGTGCTCCCTCAAACGCTGTCACCCTCTGAGAGCCCTCAAACGCCGCCACTCTATGGGGCCCCTCGAACGCCGTCACGAACTGCTGGCACCGCACGCTGTGCGTCGACTCAGCCGCAGTTGCTCCCTGAGATGCCTCAAGCGCAGTCCCCCTGTGTGGCCCTTCAAACACTGTCACGAACTGCTGGCAACGCACTCTGCTGAGCGCCCTGTGCGCGTCCAGCAGCTGCAGCCGCCCCTCCAGCGCCTGCAGTGCCACGTCATCCGACAGCTGGCAGCGCTGGAGCAGCCGCCGGACGGTTCCGCGGAGCGAGCGAGCGGGCGGCGCAGCAGAGGAGGGGGGGGGGTGGCGTGTGAGGGAGAGTGGTTGAGCGAGTGGGGCGCGCGACGGGGGGAGTGTGAAGGAGTGGGGCGTGAGGGGCGGCTTGAGTGGGGGAGACAGCGGAGGGAGCGTGAGGAACGGCAGGGGAACAAGTGGGGGACGTGCAGGGGGAAGAGCAGCGGAGGCTGCTGCGAGGGTGAGTGGAGGGAGGGGAGCTGGACAGTGATTGCTGGGGGAAGGAGTCACGGCGGACGGATGTTAGGGGTTCTTGAAAAGCAACGCTTGATTCTTGAAAAGCAACGCTTGATTCTTGAAACGCAACGCTTGATTCTTGAAACGCAACGCTTGATTCTTGAAACGCAACGCTTGATTCTTGAAACGCAACGCTTGATTCTTGAAACGCCACAGTTTCCTGAGAAGCAGCAGATGATACTTGAAAACCAGAAGTCGACTCCACTTGATGAAGAAACGCCCATGGTTGAGAAGGCTCGTCCACGGCGTGACATTGCCCGCTCATGTCCACGACGACACTCCCGCTGCTGCTCCCTTGCGGCGTCTCAGCACTCCCTTGCTGCATCACCATGCTTTCTGTCAGCGCCAAAGGTGACTCCACCCAATGGTGATTTGCATGATAGGACACGAGCTCGCATGGAGCCATGGTCAACCGTGGACTCTTGACAAGCAGGCTACTTCTCCAAGATAGAATTATCCACGGTACGGTAGTGAGGAAGAGGCTTGGTATGACTGGGATTCCCTTAGGGGTGGCTCTCTGAACGGCTGTGGGGTGAGCTGCAGTGGAAGGACTAATTACGCTTGGTGCGGCTCGGAGGAGCGGCGGCTTGGTGCATTCGAGTAGAGGAGTGGAGGGAGTAATTACGCTTCTAGGTGCCTCTAAGACCGTCTGAACGACCATGAGCTGAGCTGCAGTGGGAGGGAGGAACGCGGCTTTGCGTAATTCAGCAAAGGAAGGTGCGGAGAGATTCACTTTCAAAAGGAGAGCACGGGTCTGATCAAAACAAGTTTTGAATTCGAATTCGACAACTGCTCCAGCCTTTATCCAAACTCCGGGCCGTGCCGGGATAGAGGCGATGCTCAAGACTTGAGGCGAAGGACTCGGGAAGGGAGGCCTGGGAAACGAGAGGATTGGTTAGGCACCTCAAATATAACGGCGATGCTCAAGACTTGAGGCGGAAGGTTGGAGGGAGGAGGGAAAGGAGGGCGGGGAAACGAGAGGAGGAAGAACTTCTTCGGAAGATACGTGTTCAGAAGTGGTTTCGTCCATCCTCTGTACTACTAGCAGCAACGTGAGGGACTGCTTACAAACCTCCGTTTCAAACCACACGCCGCTCGCGCATGAAGGTGGTCTTGATTGATCTATCCATCCCTAAACTCTAAGATACGAGAGAACAGGCCAAGTTTCCTCGAATCTAGGCGGATTAGACAGAGATATGTGAAAATAGTGCTGAGTACAGAAATGGTGTGAGAGCAATGGGAGAAGGGGCGCAGAGCGAGGGGCTACCAGAGGTGGGCACAAGCCACCAGAAGCTGCCTACCCAGAGACCGGCAAGCAACAGGAGATTGGCAACAGGCAATTAATAACAGGCGATTCGCAACAGGCCAGAGCAGTGCGCGCGACACGGTGCGGCATTCCTGGCATAGCGGCGCTTTTGAATCTAGAGCGCAGGACCCTTGGCTTTTGGGTTTGGAAAGCACAAGCTCATTCTCTCGCTCCACGTGATGGCTTGGAGGCGACGGCCAATGGCAATGGCGTGCGTCCCTGAGCTAGCATCACCCCGTGATGGTGTTGAGATCGGGGTGGGGAGTAGTGGTCAGAGAGAGTGACGTAACGACGCTCATCTGAGCTGTAACCCTATCCATGCATGCACCAATGGCTTGCGTCCCAAGCATCACCCTGCGATGGTGTTGCGATCAGGGTAGGGAGTGACGCCAATCTGAGCCGCATTCCCCATCCACGATACCATCCCAAGGCTAGCAATCCCAATCCCGTTGAGATCACTAGATCACTTTCGAGGCGCTCTTTGAGGCAGCTGACTCAGCTCGGAGCTGTTCCTGAATGCACCAATCATGGCGTCTACTACAGTACCATACCATCCCAGGGCTGGGATCCAGTTGGAGATGAAGAAGTGGCGAACGGATAACTGGCATGGCGTTGCTTTTATCCACATGATCATGATCTTGCTTTTATCCACATGATCATCGCTGCGATTCGTGCTTCACAAGAAAGGAATCCCTCAATTTCACTTCTTTTTTTAGTTCGACTCAAAAATCGACCTCCGCGTCAAAACGAGCACCGTCGGTCCGTCACTAATCCCGACAGTACCGGACAGCACGAGAGGTCCTTGAGGCGCCACAAAAGGGTTTCATTCGAGCCGAGACGTCTCAAAATAAAATTCTGTGACACGTCTCAAGAGTCTGCACTCCACGTCTGCACTTCACGCCAGCACTCCACGTGATAGGAGGCACTTTACGTAGGTGAGCTGTCCGACAGTACGATATGGTCCGATCCGACAAGCGAACAACTCCGAACGCTTTCTAACGACTCCAAGCGCTTTCTGTTGGAAAAGGGGCGCTCCTCCTCCTCCTTCTCCTCCTCCTCCTCCTCCTCACCCTCATTCGCCTGACTTCTTCTCACCCGCAGCCGCCGCTCGTGTGTTAAAGGCGGGGTGCAACTTCTTAGGAACAGTAGGGGGACAAAAATGGCATGTGAGTAACTTGAATTCTATTGGACGAAAAAACTGGAAAACCAGAAGAGGACAAACTTCTCGGCTCTGAACTGCCTGGGTCAACCTCTTCCAAGCTATAATACTTTGAAGTTGAAGTTGATAGTTGGGCCACGGCTTTAAACGGTCTACAGTCTACGGGATTGATGTACAGTGCATGCATTTTCGACCAATCTAACAAACTCGGGGTTGCATGCAAGTCAGAGCGGCAATCCTGAGGCCATCGCTGTACACCACATTATTCAACACCGCGTTGACTCGGCAAGGGCACATATGGCGCGAGAATTCAGTAGATTATGGCGCTACTTCTGTACAGTTTCGACTAGGGTACCCCTTCTTACCCTTTCGTAATCGACCCCAAGAACTAGCCTAGAGAGTGAGGGCACGCTAGGCCTGTCCCCAGCAAGTCTATCGCTAACCCTTGCGTCCCTCAAGCTGAAACATAGGCACATAAACTGGGCATTCGGGTAAGGCTGTTGCAATATTGTACAGTACACTGCACAACGTGCACGACTTTTTTTTCCAAAAAATATCCATCACTGCAGCAAACAAACAACCTTCAGGTGAGGCGATCAGGCCAGACCGAGGCATTTGCACGGAATCTATTTCGCAGACCGACTGTAACCAACCGCATGTGCTGATGACTAATAAATCCGCTCCTGCAAGCAAATGTCCGAGAAAGACTGTTTGGATTGGAAGGAACGCCAGAGGCTTCCACAAAGAAGCATTATGTCGCGCCATACAGCACGTGACAGGAGGAGGCCTGTTGCTAATACAGTTCAGGCCGTTGCATCACCACAGCCCTGAGGCTGCTACTAGAAGAACACCCTACGTTATCCCACAGCACCTTACAGCATCCCATCCCATCTTTATGAAACAGAAACATCCAGTCCACTCTCTCATCTGACTTGCTTTTCTCTTTTCTCTTCCTTGTACCATTCCCTCACGGTCCTCCCTCCCGCCATCAACAAATGTCTGGACTGCCTGTGGGGGACACCTAGTATGCCTGACTCAACGAGCTTTAGAGAGGCTGAGAAAGATCTAGAACGGTTGGACGGAGATTTAATATGGCGGAGGCCCTCACCTTGAGCCTCGGGATTGTCGCTACCACATTCTTGGAGATGGGCTTCGGCTTCGGGGCTGACGGAGATAGGAGATTCGGGGGTTTGGGAGAACACGCACAATGATTTCGCATAAGCTATTTCGCAAGCGACATGATATATAGGATCTGCAAATGGAAACTCCTATACCGTGTCAGCCTCTCTGCTTCTTCCTAACTTTCTCTTACGGGTGCAATGGAACGAGTGTGAGAATCACGAGGAATGATTGACTAAGGAATGAGTGTGATACAAATATGAAACCCTAGAATTGTGTACCCCTTAGTATCTAACCCGCTACATGTCAGAATATCATGTTTCTCTAGTCTGCAGTGGGGTACTCAATAATGAGTACAACCCTGTTATGGTTTCCTGTATGTACTCAATTGCTTTCTAGTGCAATCATTCCTTCTCATTTATTCCTCATTTATTCACATGGTATAGAGCAATTTCGATTCTTCCTTAGGGCCCACCACATTTAAACCTTTTTTTTTTTTTTTTTCCTTACCTGCCCGAGGCGCGCGTCGCGCCTGCCCCTCGTAAGGCCCCTTCGCGGCCCCTCGTAAGGCCCCTTCGTGGCCCCTCGTAAGGCCCCTTCGCGGCCCCTCGTAAGGCCCCTTCGCGGCCCCTCGTAAGGCCCCTTCGCGGCCCCTCGTAAGGCCCTTCGCGGCCCCTCGTAAGGCCCCTTCGCGGCCCCTCGTACGGCCCCTTCGCGGCCCCTCGTAAGGCCCTTCGCGGCCCCTCATAAGGCCCCCTTCGCGGCCCCTCGTACGGCCCCTTCGCGGCCCCTCGTAAGGCCCTTCGCGGCCCCTCGTAAGGCCCCTTCGCGGCCCCTCGTAAGGCCTTTCGTGGCCCCTCGTACGGCCCTTCGCGGCCCCTCGTAAGGCCCTTCGCGGCCCCCCGTAAGGCCCTGTCGCGGCCCCTCGTCGCGGCCCCCCGTCGCGGCCCATCGTCGCGGCCCCCCGTCGCGGCCCCCGTCGCGGCCCATCGTCGCGGCCCCCCGTCGCGGCCCCCCGTCGCGGCCCACCGTCGCGGCCCCCCGTCGCGACCCCCCGTCGCGGCCCCCTGTCGCAGGCCCCCGTCGTGGCCCCCCGTATCGGCCCCATCGTCCGGCGTCGCCCCTGTCCCGGACCTGTCGCGCCCCTGCCCCGACCCTGTCGCGGCCCTATCGCGGCCCTGCCCCTGCCATGCCCCGACCCTGCCCAGGCCCCGCCCTCCTCATGCCTGTCGTGGCGCACCAGGGGCCCGTGCACCGCCCCCCCCCCCCCCCCCCCCCCCCCCCCCGCTCGCCACGCACGGCGACGGGAGGGGCGATCTGGGGGGGCGCGCGCGCCCCTTCTTCCGCCTGCTCTGGCGCCCTGGGAGGCCGCGCGTCGGCCCCCGTACTCCCCCCCCCCCCCCCCCCCCCCCCCCTCAGGTCGCCTCCACAGGCGACGGGAGGGGCGACCTGGGGGGGGCCGCGCGTCGGAGCAGCCGCCCCTGGAGCAGCCGCCCCTGGCCCCTGGAGCAGCCGCCCCTGGTGCAGCCGCCCCTGGACCTCAGCAGCCGCCCCTGGCCCCTGGAGCAGCCGCCCCTGGTGCAGCCGCCCCTGGAGCAGCCGCCCCTGGACCCGGGGCAGCAGCCCCTGGCCTCTGGAGCAGCCGCCCCTGGCCCCTGGAGCAGCCGCCCCTGGTGCAGCCGCCCCTGGACCTCAGCAGCCGCCCCTGGCCCCTGGAGCAGCCGCCCATGGACCCCGCGACGCCGCCCTCGGACCCGGTGCCGCCGCCTCCCTGTGCGGCCCGTTGCTGCTCTCCCCCCCCCCCCCCCTTCTTCGTCTCCCT